TGGCAATTGGACAATTAAAACAGACATTCGGGGAAGAAGAACGAACTGGGGAGGAGGGTAGAGAAAACAGTGCTACAATGAATGAATGAAAACCCAAAATCTCTGTAAATGTTCATTAAAACCAATAAAATTTAATGATAATTTTTTTAAAAAAAGGGAAAAAACCTCTTAAAAAGAAACAGAAAAGTTGACTCTCTACCACATGATAAGGATAGGTGTAATGGGGCAGAAATCTATTTACTTATTCTCAGGGAGCTAGTTATATGGTATGGATAGGCACACACTTTTATGGCAAATAAATAAATAAATATAATTTTTAATGTTAGGTTTACTTGCCCTTGGATATAGAACTGAGGCTATAAAGAAAATAAGAGCAGCCAGGAATTCTATTAATTCTAAGTTATCATGTATAAATTACAACTTAAAAAGTTATTAAATTATACTCTTAAGGGACCCTCTGGTGGCCTAGTGGCAAGAAGCTGTGCTGTACTCCTGAAGGCACGCGGTTCAAGGCCACCAGCTGCTCCATTGGAAAGAGATGGGGAGTTTCCTCCCATGTGATCAACTGCCTCTGAACAACCCCTGGAGGGTCAGCTATGGGTCAGTTCCGACTCAACAGTATACCACAACAACAAGTGCTCGCATGCTTTTGTGAAGACAGCTTGTCTTATAATGATCTTCCACTGGGTTTCTGAGTCTGTAAATCTCAATGGGAGGAAACTTCCCAACTTTCTAATGTGGAGCCACCAGTGCATTCTAACTGCTGGAAATGCCCAGCCTTTGGATGAACAGGGTACACATTACAGACGATGCCACCAGAGTGCCCTTAAATTATACAAGATGATTAAATAAAAAAGGAGATAGATACTATTACTCTGATGAAACTGTATTTTAAGACAGTCTTAAATCTTTGTTTCATTATCTAAACAAGGTAGTCTTCTGTCAATTTTGTATGCTGAGTAAAACCTTGCTCATCTTCCTGTGCGAGTTTTAAGTACTTAAAGAGCTATCGGTGTCTTACAGATCTGCTGTACACAGACACTCTTGGCTAGGGCTTGGTCCTTAGTAAGGAGGATGAACCATCTAGTGGTGCAGAGGAACGGAGCAAGAGGGCTGCTCCCATCACTGACCTGAGCCTCAAGCCGGAGAAGGCTTCCACGGAAACTGGCTGAGCCGGTTCCCCAGAACTTCTTGGGGTGCTTATGCTCTGATCTCTAGATGTTCCATTAGGTTTGTTCCCAGGAATTGTTTGGAGAGGTTGGGAGGGTACACTTGTCAACCCTGAAGTTAAGCTTCTGGGCCCTAGAAAAATGAACATAAAAAGATGTTTTTATAAAATTACTTCTTTGCAATCAGTATACATAATTAACAAATTAAGAGAGAACAAAATAAACTGACCAGATTACTTCTGTCATACCCTCAAAATATCTGCAATGTAGTCTGACAGAACTTTCTACAATAATAGAAACGCTTCATGTCTATTATCTTTGTTGTCCAATGTAGTCTCTAGGTTCTAACCAGGGAGCTCTGGTGGCCTAATAAAAATCTGCGCTGCAATTCCAAAGGCACACAGTTTGAATCCACCAGATGCTTCATGGGAGAAGGATGGGTAATCTCCATTTGACTCACTGCCTCTAAAAACATGCTGGAGGGGCAACTATGTGCTGACTCAAAGGCACACACAACACAACAGGTTCTAACTCGCTGGTAATGAGTTTGAGTTACATTTCTGTAGCCCTAGCAGATGAGCGTTATGGGCTGAACTGCTAACCAAAAGGTCCATAGCTTGAATACACCACAGTTGCTCTCTGGGAGAAAGGTGGGCAATCATTCCCTATAAAGATTTATTGCCTCCGAACCCAATAAAGGGTCATCATGAGTCAGAATAGATGCAATATCAGTGGGTTTTGGTAATGGGAGCCACACTGAGCCTTCAAATATGACTGGTGCTTCTGAATAAATAAGTTCTAAATTTAAGTTAAATTTAAATAGTCACATGTGACTAGTGGCTATTGTACAAGACAGTATAGATCTAAAACACTATTATTTATTCTGTGAAATGATATTTACTGAGCATTCGCCGTATACAAGGAATTGTGGTAGATTTCACAAGGGAGGAAAGCCCTTCTATAAGAATGAATACTAACTGGAGATTTGTGTACCAATTAAATGCTACCTGAAGAAAATGCAAAGGTTGTTCACTTCCTTTTTCCCCCCTTTCTTTTTGTTCATTTTTTAAAAGCTTTGTTTTATTTCATTTCATTCCACTTTATCTGGGAATGGAATGTAGGAGGAGGAGTAGGGCAGTTTACAATTTTGCTTGAATTAAGTATACAGATGTGTTAACTTTAGGTAATTTAGAAGCATATCAAAGGTCAGAAAACTTAGGTATTTTCTTCAGTAAAATATCACTGTTTTATAAGAATATGCTTTTTACTTTTAAATGGCTTTGACTAATTGCTCCCAAGCTCCTTCTAAAAATCATGCTGATGTCCCACCAACTCAAAACCAAATCTTAGATATTACCTAATGAAACATCTTAGTGATGTCAACAGTCTTCAGGGAACAGTCTATTCATAAACAAAAATATTAAAGATGCAATTCGTTGCCCTCAAAGTATAGACACTCAGAACAAGAAGTTATTTCTATTATTATTAACATGCCAGTGTTGCTCAAAAAGGACTTTTTGAATAGATAAAATGCTGTTTATTCTATACCATGTCTCTTCCATTCACGGACTAGCAAAAGAATAAACAGCTATGCCTTGGAAAAAGTATAGCCAGAGAGGTCCTTGAAGGCAAAGGTGGTGAAGCTTTGTCTCTCATACTTTGGACATGTTGCCAGGAGAAGTCATTACTTGGACAGAGACATCATGTTTGGGAAGGTGGAGGATGAGCGAAGGAGAAGACCCTCAACCAGGTGGACTGACACAGTGAGTGCAACAATGGACCCAGGTGTGTTTGAGATGATGAGGATGGCACAGGACAGGACAGGGTTCAAGCCTGTTGTTCATAGCATCGCTATGAGCCATACTTGATGGCCTCTAACAACAACAGCAGTGTCTCTTCAAGGTCATTTAATGTGTTTCCTAAGAAAAAGCAGTTATGTTGGGGAAATTAACTTAGTACAACAAAATCAGTGTTTCCTAATATATGAGTCAATTGTGACTTAAAACAACTCTGTAGGACAGGGTAGAAGGGCTTCTGAGGCTGTGAATCTTTATAGAAGTAGACTGTCTTATCTTTTCCTTATGGAACAGCTGATTGGTTCGAAAAACTGACTTTCAATTACCAAATGCCTTATCCACAGCAATACTCATCCACTGTTATCAAGTCATTCCCAACTCATAGGAGAGCGACGCAGCGCCAGCAAGAGCGACGCAGTGCCAGCGAGAGCGACGCAGTGTGAGAACGCTGCTGCCAGATGGGAGAACGCCCCCGCCAGACGGGGTTCCAC